CGCAGAAGGTGAGATTCCCGAGAGGCCCTTCTAAGCGCGACCAGCTAGCTCCCGACAGCGAAACGCTGAAGGGATACGAACCTCCCACAATCTGGCCGACAAGAGACAGGCACGTGCCCCGCCGAAGTCTAACTGAGTAACCAAGGTCCTTGCGCGCGACTGGGCGACGCCATGCTCGCTGGCGCTCAGACCGACCCACGGCCTCAAACAATATTGATGCTGCGGCGCGTGGAGCCTTCTCTGTATCCACTGGATCCGACGTTGCGACGCCCAAAATATCAGCGCATACGCAGTGGCACTTACCTGACCGCGAAGGGGGTTCTCCAGGGGCGCCCGAAGCGATGGCGAAGATGCCGGGCCGTCCCCGATCCTGGAGAAACGTGGACATTGACATGCCCGGCGCCATCCGGTTTTTATGTTCCCCAGCCTGCCTGCAGCAGCACAGGGGCCACGATAATCCCATCGGCAGACGAAGCCCCAGAAAACGCCCACAATGATCTCCACTGCATGCCACTCCCCATGGCAAATAAAACCAACGACCCCCAGCTCCCCACCAGCATCATGCCCCAATCCGAAGTAGCTAGCGGGACCAGCGGGAAGCCCGAAAGCGGTGGAAAGCGCCGATCACGTCAGCGAGCCCGAGAGAGAGAGAGAGAGAGAGAGAGAGAGAGAGACATACATATATATATATATATAGAGAGAGAGAGAGAGAGAGAGAAACAAAACAAAGAGAAAGAGAGAGAGAACGAGGGAGAGAGAGAGAGAGAGAGCGAGACAGAGAGAGATAGAGAAAGAGAGGGATAGAGAAAAAGAGAAAGAGAGAGAGAGAGAGAGAGAGAGAGAGAGAGAGAGCTGATGGCGAGCTCAGGCAAGACAGACTCATGGCCCGGAGGGAGAGCGACCTCAATCCTGGCAAGGCTGTCGCTTGAGCGAAGGTGGGCTGCTGGGGGTCGGCGGACTCCCCATTGGCAATTGGCTGCGCGGGCATCGATAATGAGACGGCATCGGGTTCCCCCCGAAATCTTCACGCAAAAACCCCGACCTTCTCGCGAGCAGCCCCAGCGAGACAGACCACCGTCAGACCGATGCAATTGGGGGCGCGAAGCAGACGCAAAAACTCACGGCGGCCGCGGGCGAGCACGGAGTCCCAATAGGGGTTGATTGGCGGAAGCGACTCTTGTCGCTCGAAAAATTCGGAGTACGGGCGAAGGAATGCGCTCGTAGGTTGCTCAAGGCACTGGTTTGCATGGCGCCCCGCGACCTCGCGCACCGCGGGCGCCCCGTCGAGGCTGTCTGGGAAGCTCACCTCCGCGACGCTGGAGAAACAAGCTAGGTTGCGTCCACCGAGCTCGGCGTCATAGACGGCTCGGCCGCGCAGCAGCTCACGAAAAAAAACACTCGCCGGCTGGGGATCGCGACTCCAGAACCAGATTGCGCGACACATCGTTCCCAGACTCGCGCGGTCATTCCAGCCTGCTCAGGTAGCACCGCAGGCCCGTGCTGCGGGCGATGGTAACCTCCTGACAACAAAGCTAACGCCTTCGCGGAAGCGTCTGCGCTCGCCCTCCTGGAGTGCCCGCGCAGCCGGATCTCCTGGCGGCCTTGCCCCTGCGGACAATCCAGGAGCGGCTGCGCCGGGATCGGTGCGAGGGTCAGCATGGGGACATGGCGAGTGCCATCGCCACAGCCATCGCATGCGCAGCCCTGGCCATAGGCGGCGGCGCAACCAGGGCCACCGCTCGCAAGGGGCATCGCACTGCCCCCCTGGAGGGAGCGAGCGTCTGCTTGCCGCCACCGTCGGCGCCGCCCTGGCCAGGCTGACTCCCGCCGCGCCCCCCCCCCCCTGGCCCGGCGACCCGGGCCTGCACCTGGCCCGCGGCAGAGGCCGGGTCGTCCCCGACCGCCCCGACATGGCCCGTCAGCACCGCCAACAGCCCCGTCGGCTCTGGCAGGGAGGCCACCGTAACAACGCAGCCGCATGTTCCCGATCTCGAGCTCCTCCTTGGCGAGGCGGCTGGCGCGAGTGCGAATTTCGGGCGGCGCCGCCGAGGAAGCTGTTGCCGACGGGGCGAAGTGCTTCGCGCCCGCCCAATTGGCACGGTCTGGGACCCCTGGCGATCGCGCGCGCCTCTCACACCCGGCGCGCGGGGCGACTCGCCGCCTCGACGCACGCCAGGGACGGGCTGTTTACTTGGTCGCAGGCCTCGCTCAAGCGCGCGATGTCCGTCGGCAACTTCATCTGTATACCCGCGCACCCCCGAGGGCTAACCCCCGACTCGCGGCGCCAGAGAGGGGGGGCAGCAGACGAGGACCGCCACCCTGAAGGTAGAAGTTCTTGAAGAGCGCCAGGGCGGTCGGAGGCCCCTCACGATGCGCTCCCAGTCGGCGTTGTGGTTGTAGGACACCTCTGCACACGCGTCGCGCCAAGCCTTCAACCGCTCGCCGCGCTCATCGAAATTCGCGGAGAGGGTCCGGGAGTCTTCGCAGGACGCGGGAGTGGACGCGCCCCCGTCCTCCGTCCAGAGCCTGTCGGAGTCGGGCCTCCAGGCCACTGTCCTTGCGCATAGCTCGGCCAGCATCGGTAATGAGACGGCATCGGGTTTCCCCCGACTTCTTCGCGCAAAGATTCCGACCCTCTCGCGAGCAGCCCCAGCGAGCAAGACCACAGCCGGACCGATGCCACTGGGGGCGTGGAGCAGACGCAAAAACTCACGGCGGCCGCGGGCGAGCACGGAGCCCCAATAGGGGTTGATTGGCGGAAGCGACTAATGTCGCTCCAGAAATTCGGAGTGCGGGCGAAGACGCGCGATCGTAGGTTGCTCAAGGGCACAGGTTCGCACGGCGCCCCACGGCCTCGCGCACCGCGGGCGCCCCGTCGAGGCTGTCTGGGAGGCCCACCTCCGCGACGCTGGAGAAACAAGCTAGGTTGCGTCCATCGAGCTCGGCGTCATAGACGGCTCGGCCGCGCAGCACGTCACGAAAAAAAACACTCGCCGGCTGGGGATTGCGACTCCAGAGCCAGATTGCGCGACACATCGTTCCCAGACTCGCGCGGTCATTCCAGCCTGCTCAGGTAGCACCGCAGGCCCGTGCTGCGGGCGATGGCAACCTCCTGACCACAAAGTCAACGCCTTCGCGGCGGCGTCTGCGCTCGCCCTCTGGAGCGCCCGCGCAGCCTCATCTCCTGGCGGCCTTGCCCCTGCGGAGAATCCAGGAGCGGCTGCGCCGGGGCCGGTGCGAATGGCAGCGTGGGAACATGGCGAGTGCCATCGCCATGGCCATCGCATGCAAACGTCCCGGCCATGGGCGGCGGTGCAATCAGGGCCACCACTTGCAGGGGGCATCGCCCCTGCCGCGCCCCGGAGGGAGCGAGCGCCTGCTCGCCGCCGCCGTCGGCGCCGCGCTGGCCAGGCTGACTCCCGCGGCCCCCCCGCCCCCCTGGCCCGGCGACCTGGGCCTGCGCCTGGCCCGCGGCAGAGGCCCGGTCGGCCCTGACCGCCCCGACCTGGCCCGTTAGCACTGCCAGCAGCTCCGTCGGCTCCGGCGGGGAGGCCACCGCAGCATCGCAGCCGCATGTTCTCGATCTCGAGCTCCCCCGCGGCGAGGCGACGGGCGCGAGCGCGCATCTAGGGCGGCGCCGCCGAAGAAGCTGTTGCCGACGGGCCCGTCGCGCGCGCCTCTATCGCCCGGCGCGCGCGGCGACTCGCCGCCTCGATGCGCGCCAGGGACGGGCCGTTTACTTGGTCGTAGGCCCCGCTCAAGCGCAGGATGTCCGTCGGCATCTTCATCTCTATGCCCGCGCGCCCCTGAAGGCAAACCCCCGACTCGCGGCGCCAGAGAGGGGGCAACTGACGAGGACCGCCACCCTGAAGGTAGAATTTCTGCGTAGAGCGCCAGGGCGGTCGGAGGCCCCTCACGATCCGCCCTGGCCAGGCTGACCCCCGCCGCGCCCCGCCGGCCTGGCCCGGCGACCCTGGCCCGCGGCAGCGGCTTGGGTCGGCCCCGACCGCCCCGACCTGGCCCGTCAGCGCCGCCGGCGGCCCCGGCGGCTCCGGCAGGGAGGCCGCCGCAACATCGCAGCCGCATGTTCTCGAACTCTAGCTCCTCCCTGGCGAGGCGACGGGCGCGAGCGCGCATCTAGGGCTGCGCCGCCGAGGAAGCTGTTGCCGACGGGGCGGAGTTCTTCGCGCCCGCCCAGTTGGCGCGGTCTGGGACCCCCGTCGCGCGCGCCTCTAACACCCGGCGCACGCGGCGACTCGCCGCCTCGATGCGCGCCAGGGACGGGCCGTTTACTTGGCAGTAGGCCCCGCTCACGCGCAGGATATCCGTCGGCATCTTCATCTCAATGCCCGCGCGCCCCTGAGGGCTAACCCCCGCGCTGCGGGCGATGGCGACCTCCTGACAACTAAGTCAACGCCTTCGCGACTGCGCTCGTCCTCCTGGAGCGCCCGCGCAGCCGGAGCTCCTGGCGGCCTTGCCGCTGCGGGCAATCCAGGAGCGGCTGCGTCGGGATCGGTGCGGATGGCAGCATGGGAACATGGCGAGCGCCATCGCCATGGCCATCGCATGCAAACGTCCTGGTCATAGGCGGCGGCGCAATCAAGGCCACCGCTTGCGGGGGGCATCGCCCCTGCCCCGCCCCGGAGGGAGCGAGCGCCTGCTCGCCGCCGCCGTCGGCGCCGCGCTGGCCAGGCTGACTCCCGCGGCCCCCCCGCCTCCCTGGCCCGGCGACCCGGGCCTGCGCCTGGCCCGCGGCAGAGGCCCGGTCGGCCCTGACCGCCCCGACCTGGCCCGTCAGCACCGCCAGCAGCTCCGTCGGCTCCGGCGGGGGGGCCACCGCAGCATCGCAGCCGCATGTTCTCGATCTCGAGCTCCCCCGTGGCGAGGCGACGGGCGCGAGTGCGCATCTAGGGCGGCTCCGCCGAAAAAGCTGTTGCCGACGGGGCGGAAAGCTTCGAGCCCGCCCAGTCGGCACGGTCTGGGACGCCCGTCGCGCGCGCCTTCATCGCCCGGCGCACGCGGCGACTCGCCGCCTCGATGCGCGCCAGGGACGGGCCGTTTACTTGGTCGTAGGCCCCGCTCAAGCTCAGGATGTCCGCCGGCATCTCCATCTCAGTACCCGTGCGCCCCTGAGGGCCAACCCCCGACTCGCGGCGCCAGAGAGGGGGCAACAGACGAGGACCGCCACCCTGAAGGCAGAAGTTCTTGAAGAGCGTCAGGGCGGTCGGAGGCCCCTCACGATGCGCTCCCAGTCGGCGTTGTGGTTGTAGGACACCTCTGCGCACGCGTCGCGCAAAGCCTTCAACCGCTCGCCGCGCTCATCGAAATTCACGGAGAGGGTCTGGGAGTCTTCGCAGGACACGGGAGTGGCCGCGCCCCCGTCCAGAGACTGTCGGAGACGGGCCTCCAGGCCATTATCCTTGCGCACAGCTCGGCCAGCAGCCTCCCCGTCGCCCGTGCAGCTGCCGGCTGCCTCGGGGGCGCAGCCCACCTCGAAGTCCATCGCCCTCTGCACCGCGACGGGCCGCCCGCTGGCGTCCGCGGCCAAGGCGCGCAGCCCAGCTGCTGGGGCCGAGGGCAGCGGGCCCCGCTGATCCCCAAAGTCCGGGTGGAACGGGTCGACACTGAGCCGGGTCTCGTCCACCTCCAGCATCCTGAGCACTCGGCCCGCATCGGCGCTCGGTGCGGCCACGGGGCCACCGACAAGAGGCACGAGCTTCGCACCCTCCGAATCCATGGCCGTCACGTACTCCACACGAGCGCCGCCCCACAAGACAACGCCCGACGTGGGGTCGCGCACCTTGCGGGTTCGTGCATAGGCCTCGCCCTCCGCCATCTTGATCTGATCCACCGAGTCAGAATTCGACAGCCCCTCTTTAGACCTGCAGAATCTCCCTCGGAGGCGAGCGGGCCGCTCCACGGCCGGGTCGAACAACCCTGCACGGCAATGGGCGCTCTCTACGTGCCGATGGCCGTCGGGCGCGACGATTGCCCAGATCCCACTGCGGACAAACGCCAGGACCGCCCTCTCGTGCCAGCGCATGTCGTCTGAATACCAGAGGGCGATCCGCCGCCCAGGGGCGAGCTCATGTATAAATCCGCCTGTTCACGACGACCCCGCCCACCCCAGACAGTTGGTGCTGCCTGGCCGAAAGCATCGCGACAACGAGCCAGCCAGCTGCGGCTCTGGCCTAAGGTGGCTTGGACGAGCCCCCCACCGATGGCCCACGCGGCCGGCCAGGCGGCCCGAGCGCCCTCGGCCCCTGCGACGATCGAGACCACTTGCCCTTCCAGGTGCAGGAACAAACCCCGCACCTCGCCCACTTCCCCCGAATCCGAAGTCAAGCAGGGATCCGTGGGGCCCCCGGGTGGCCAGGGTCTGGGGCCGCCGCCGCCGCTTCCGCGAGGGCCTCGACCACCGAGGCGCCCCACGCGGGGGAGGGGAGGTCCAGGCACGCCGAGCAAGAGGCCGCCAGGCACACCGGCGGCGGGCAGGACGGCGGGATCGGCGACGCCCACATGTCAATCGCGTGCAGCGAATGGAGACCTGTGGCGGCAGCCGTGGCCAAACTCGCGCGCTTGGGGTCCATGACAATGACGCCGTGAAGACTTGGACAAAAACAACTACAAGCCGGAAGTACGCTTCCATTCAAAAACTCAATCCCGTGCCTATTCCGCAAGTTCCATTCCGCACCAACATGCAAAGCGACGCATATCAACCCAACACAATGCCATGCATATGCAAGAAAAGCACCACAAGAAACGCTAGGAAACGCAACGCTAGACAAAACAATACAGAACAACGCAATGTAAAGCAGCGCCAGTAGTACCAAGCAGCGCAAAGCAGCGCAGAACAACGCAACGCATCTCAAAACAAACATTACATGTTTTGTGCAATGCGGCAGCGACGGCGGCGACAGAACCGCCATACTATCGGGAATGGACAGACCCCCCTTTAGCAAAACGTGGTTTCGTGAAAACGACCTGAGGCCCAAACCTGGCGGGCGCAAGCCTGAAAAATAACGGCCGCGGCGCCCTCTCGAGAGCCGAAAACGAACCATTCACGAATCGACGTGTCACTGTTGGGGGTTCTGTCCACCCCCGATACTAACCGTCAGGTCACGACGACGGGCGGCGACGAGGCGGCGACGCGGGTGCGACGGTGGAGACAAAGCCGCCAGACCGGTCGTGGGACGGCGGCGACAGAACCGCCATATTAACCGTCAGGTCACGACAGCGGGCGGCGACGAGGCGGCGACGCGGGTGCGACGGTGGAGACAAAGCCGCCAGACCGGCCGTGGGGCCCCGGCGACGAGGCGGTGACGGGGCGGCGACGGGGCGGCGACGGGTCGGCGACGGCGACAACATAGCCGGGAGGAGGAGGAGGAGGAGGAGGAGGAGGAGGAGGAGGAGGAGGAGGAGGAGGAGGAGAGAACCCATGAGTACAAGCACTGTGTGGCGAAATACACTGAATAACAGGAAGTCGTGAGGAGGAGCTGT